CTCTCACTTATTTACTAGCTCTAGTTTTTAATTTTTAAGACATTTTAATTCATTTTACTTATTGTAGTATGTGTATGATGTGTGTATGTGTGTCCTCGCAAAGATGTGCACAGGTTCCCACTAGGTATGTGGTCAGAGTACAATGTCATGGAGTTTCATCTTTATGTGGGTTGTCAGCCTTACACATTTTCATCCACTGAGCCACCTTGTCAATTCCAAAGTGTGTAAGAGTCAGCTTTCTGGTTGGTATAATAAATAACACCTCTATTGTATGTATCTCCATCACTGAAAAAATATAAAAGCAAAGTACAAGTCCAAAGTAATTCATCAACTTAAGGTAGCTGGGGAATGTAGTCGATTTTTTCTTTGGACCACCAACCCACAAATAACAGCACTGAGATGTATTATTAATTATGAAAGCTCTACTTTTAGTTTAGGCTTGTCCCTAACTAACTCTTATGACTTAAATTGACCCATTTATATTAATCTGTGTTGTATCACGAGGCATTCTCTCCATGTCTCCTGATATCTGCTGTGTGCCTGGATTCCTCCTCCTCTTTCTCTGCCTGGAAGTCCCGCCTATACCTCCTGCCTACTGATTGGCTGTTCATCATTTTATTAAACCAATGAGAAAGTGCCTTAGTAAAGGCACATCTTCACAGTGTGCAGAAAGAAAGCTCAAGGTAGAACATTGCTTAGTATGTGCATGACTGAGTTCAGTTCTACCACAAATTAGTTATCAATGCAGGGACAGTAAGGCTGCTGTAATATGGGAATGGGGAATAGGATTACATGGTCTGTAGTTTGAAATACATCTTGAATCATCTTTTTTTTTTTTTTTTTTTGGTTTTTTTCGAGACAGGGTTTCTCTGTATTGTTTTGGAGGCTGTCCTGGAACTCACTCTGTAGACCAGGCTGGCCTTGAACTCACAGAGATCCACCTGCCTCTGCCTCCCGAGTGCTGGGATTAAAGGCGTGCGCCACCAACGCCCGGCCATCTTGAATCATCTTAAACCCATATCTTTAAAAATTTTTTTAAGATTTATTTAAGTTGGACAGTGGTGGCGCGTGCCTTTAATCCCATCACTTGGGAAGCAGAGGTAGGCGAATCTCTGTGAGTTCTGAGACCAGCCTGGTCTACAAGAGCTAGTTCCAGGATAGCCTCCAAAGCCACAGAGAAACCCTGTCTCAAAAAAAAAAAAATAAGATTTATTTATTATGTATGCAGTGTTCTGTCTACATGTATGCCAGCACAACAGAAGGGGGCGCCAGATCTCATTACAGATGGTTGTGAGCCACCACGTGATTGCTGGGAATTGAACTCAGGACCTCTGGAAGAACAACCAGTGCTTTGAATTTCTGAGCCATCTCTGCAGCCTCATTAAGCCTCGATTTTTATTTTACACTTTTTTAATTATATATTTAAATTAGAAACAAGCTTGCTTCCCGTGTCAGTCCCAGCTCCCTCACCCTCTCCTCCACACTCATTCCCTCCCCCCCCCTAGATTTTTTATGTTATCTTTTCCTGAACTTTTGCAACTGTCAGTGAAAAGAGCCTCCCAAGATCTTGAGAAAGGGGCTGGAGAAATGGCTCAGTAGTTAAGAGCATCTGACTTCAATTCTGAGCACCCACCTTGCAACTCACAACCATCCAATGCTTCTTTTGGTGTGTAGACAAAAACATCCATATATATAAAACACATAAATATGTTTTTCCAAAAAGAAAATGGATCTTGAAGGAAGAATCAGGCCTGACAAGACAGACAACCTGAGCCAGGAAAAGCTTGTCTCTAAAGAGCATGGGTTTTGCACGCAGACTGCCTAGGTCTTAATTGCGTGACCCTGGACCAGTCACTTAAGTGCTCTGCCCTGTCCTGGGCCTTCAGACTTATAGCAGTGATGGGGATACAGAGTGTGGGGGACCCCAGGAGTGAACCTCTCAGAGCACTTAGTGCAGTCCTTGGTCAAGGGACATGTTCTTACATCTGGTTTTGTTTCGTGTAAGGAGCCGTGTAAAGCCAGTTGAGTACAGCCAGATGTACAGTTACAGCTACAACCAGTATTACCAGCAGTACCAAAACTACTATGCCCAGTGGGGCTACGACCAGAACACAGGCAGCTACAGCTACAGCTACCCCCAGTACGGCTACACACAGAGCACCATGCAGGTAACCACGTGTGGCAACTCTTGGGTCTCAGTCCCCCTCCAGGACCCATTATTTTACCATTAGTAAAATGGGGAAGACTAGAGAGACCCAGTATTTTCTCAGGCCCCTCTCCTCACCTGCCCTCTCCTCTCTTGACAGACTTATGAAGAGGTTGGGGATGATGCACTGGAAGGTAAGAGTCCCTTTGTGCTTCCGTTAGCTGTGGCAGGTTCCAGTTAGGTGACCCTCAGCTAGATGTTAAGAAACACCAGGGACGCATGTGCTTTCTGCCTCCATGTACACCTGCAGGCCAGAAGAGGGCACCAGATGGTTATGAACCACCATGTGGTTGCCGGGAATTGAACTCAGGACCTGTGGAAGAGCAGCCAGTGCTCTTAACCTCTGAGCCATCTCTCCAGCCTGACCTGGCATACACACTGTAGATCAGGCTGTCCTCAAACTCACAAAGATCTGCCTGCCTCTGCCTCCTGACTGCTGGAACTAAAGGTATGTGCCACCGCCACCCAGCTCCAGCTGAGTTTTAAATGACAGGTTGACATGAGATGACTACTTTGAGTTCATGGCCAGGTTATGTCACATAGTGGAATTTTGTATCAAAAGAAAGATCAGGTATGATGGTACAATCCGTTATTCATAGCACTAGTGAGGCAGAGGCAGGGGCATCTATGAGTTTGAGGCTAGGCTGGTCTACACAGTGCCAGGAAAACTTAAGAGAGAAGAGGGCTGGTGGGTGGTGCACGCCTTTTTTTTTTTTTTTTTTTTTTTTTTTACGAGACAGGGTTTCTCTGTTTTGGAGGCTGTCGGTGGAGCCTGGCCTGGAACTCACGGAGATCCGCCTGCCTCTGCCTCAATAGTGCTGGGATTAAAGGCGTGGGCCACCAACGCCCAGCTTAAATGTGTAGCCCAGGCTGGCCTCGAACTCATGATCCTCCTGCCTCTGCCTCCTTCAGTAAATCCTACTGGCGTGTGCCACCACAACCAGTGGTGCACGCCTTTAATCCCATCACTTGGGAAGCAGAGGCAGGTGATCTCTGTGATTTTGGGACCAGCCTGGTCTACAAGAGCTAGTTCCAGGACAGCCTCCAAAGTCACAGAGAAACCCTGTCTTGAAAAACCAAAAAAAAAAAAGAGAGAGAGAGAGAGAGAAGAGGGAAAATTTAACTCATCTTGGTGTGCTAGCGTAGAGCTTTAGTCTTAGCATTGGTTCTAGACTAGACTGGGCCACACAGTGAGCCTCCTAGAGATGCTCTACTGAGGATTTATTTCCCATTGTGAGCATCTTTTCATGTTCAACGTGATCTCCAGGTCCTGTCTCAAAACCCAGGGTTGTTAAAAGACATTCTCAATATATCCACTCAGAAATGGAGTTATAGGGATGGATGCCACCACCATTGAAATGTATGTATATGTGATTTCTGAAAGAGACGGGACCAATTCCCCAGTTCATGTGACTGCACCTTTTATCAGACACTGGTTTAGTTCTTAAGGTGGCACTTAGGATTCATTAACCCCAAGTTTTTCCAAACCCACATGTTAAAACTGAGAAAATCGGGGCTGGAGAGATGGCTCAGAGGTTAAGAGCACTGACTGCTCTTCCAGAGGTCCTGAGTTCAATTCCCAGCAATCACATGGTGGCTCACAACCATCTACAATTAAATCTGGTACATGCCTTCTTCTGGCATGTAGACAAACTTTATCTGTAATAAATAAATCTTAAAATTTTAAAAACTGAGAAAATCTTAAGACTGCAATTAGAGAGACAGATGTAGCTTTGAAAACTGGAAAGGGAAACAACTGCTGTCACATGCTCCATCTTCCTGGCACCCATTCTATGATACCTGGAGGCAGGAGTCTGAACCCTTCCAGGTGTTTCTTTTGCCTGTTGTGACTTTGTTCCTTGCCTTTCCTCTAGACCCAGCGCCACAGCTGGACGTGACTGAGGCCAACAAGGAGTTCATGGAACAGAGTGAGGAATTATATGATGCGTTGATGGACTGTCATTGGCAGCCCCTGGACACTGTATCCTCAGAGATCCCTGCCATGTTGTAGCCAATACATAAGGATGGACTGTCATGAGGACATTATTTTTCTGTATGTGTGAAGCTTTTATCCTTTTGAAATGGTTTCTAACATTTTAATAAATTACTGTTTACTCAGATTATGCAACACCTCACTTATTGCATTCATGTTTTAGTAACTGGTGAGAGCCATGTAAGGGAATTGTTCTAACAGGAACTTGTTAAGTCATGACTAGAGAAATGCCTCAGCGGTCAAGGGCACTTACTGCTATTCAAGGACACAAGTTCTGTTCCCAGCTCCCAATTCAAGCAAACTTCAGGGGCTTTTCTCAGTAATTGGGTGGTTTCCTGAGACTGTTTCTCAGTGTAGCTGGCCCGAACTCGGATCCACCTGCCTCTGCCTCCGAGTGCTTGGTGTGCCACCAACTCCCGGTAGCATGATAGTTTTTTGTGTATGCAATGTGTGCATACTTGGCTCACCTAGAGGATTTAAGATTTCAAAACAGTTTAATCCCAGCACTCGGGAGGCAAGACAGGCGGATCTGGAGTTCGAGGCCAGCTGGTCTACAAGAGCCTCCAAACCAAAAAAAAACCTTCGAAAGCAAGTCCCCCAGTTGATGGCATAGGGCTATTCCAGCCTGCCACCATGTAGCTGTCTTCACCAAAGGAAAAAAAAAATATGGTTAGCAGAGGACCTAGGCATTGGCAATCAGACTGGACTTTAATCCACTTCTGGGAACCGAAGGACCGGTTTGCTGCTCTAGATTCACAGGCACAAGCATCCACTTTCAGACACAAGTGAGACACTGCATCATTTTAAATTACAGAAAAAATGTTTTATTGACCCAATTACATGTTAAATCACAAAGCATTTCAACACAGAATTCTTGGTGAGTATCCCTTGTTGTCTGTAGACCGGACTGAACTTGAACTAAAGGTATGCACCAAAGTTCCAAAAGTATTAGCAAAAGCTTCTGCTTGCTTCAAGGTTGTTCTTGATTTTTCCTGAAAAGTGGAATTCCATGTTAGTTCTGACCTTAGGCACAATCCCCCCAAGAAGCCTCTCCTAAGAACTGGCCACTCAGTCCCATATCCGCATTTCTCATCCATAGATGTCCGCTCAGATTAGGTTTCATCCTGGACCAGTGTCTAAGCTCACTTGAACCCCTCCTCATCAATCTCCCTGGTTGCAGGAGTAGCAGATGAGCAATCTTCTACAGAGGACAGGGCTCATTCTGGCCAACTTACCCAACCAACTGCAGATCAAATCAGTGATGGGACCTTTGCTGGAGACAAGGCCCTAAAAGTAAACAAATCATTTCAGAAATCCAGGTACTACAATTCCAGAGACATTTTTAATTCTCTATTCCACTTTATAAGGGCCCAGGCAGGCATGTATGAATCTGACCCCGTGCTCTATAGCAGACTACATAGCTGTGAGGCCGGCCAGTTTCAGCATGCTCTCCCTCCTTTACGACCACCAAGACCAGCGTCAAGATCCGATGGGAAAGGGAACCGGAGGGTCGGGCTATCTCAGACAGCAACTTTACCTTAGTGAATTCAATGAGCAGGCAGTCAGACTGGCCTCGGACTTTTTCAGGTGCCTTGGTGTAACCTGCGGAAGCAAAAAGCATTTTGCCAGGGACAGAATAGTGTCCCAGGTAGGGAGTCCCACCCCAGACCTAATATATATAGGAAAGTCGAGTGGCAGCTGCAGACACTGCTGGCCTGGGCTGTCAAAGTCTTTCCAGTTACTCTGGCATGCAGTTGGAGAGCCACGGCCACAACAGCCGTAGCCCTTGGGAACATGCTGTGTCTCACCAGTAATCCCAACACCACCACTCACCAGGCACTGCTTCAGCATTCCGTTACATCTTCTGGTCTCCTTATCAAGGTCTTCATCTGGCACAGCTAAGAAAGGCAACACAATTACCCGCTATAATCCCATTCCCTGCACCCGGTCCACAATTGGTCTTTCGACTGGGAATGTGAACCCACAACATGGCTGTCTACCAACAGGTGTTTGACAGGTGAACATACTTGCAACTGCCCTTGTATGTTCTTCAGTCCAGCAAGCCACTATTTTACTAACTCCACACTGACATTTTTGTTGGCGTGTATAGCATAATTAAGTTAATGAAGGTCTCTAGATACACCTAAGAGGATCTCATGGTGGAGCTGTCTTTTCCCAAAATGTTGCAGAACAGTTACAGTAAACTGAACCACGACCGTCAAGGAAAACTTTCTCTGGGCCTCCTTTTTGACCACAGCAGCTATGTAGAAGCAGCTGTAGCTTCGATAAGGGCCTCAGGTAGTGATGGGGCTTACAAGACCTTAATCCCACAAACCACTTGGCTTTTACTAGAATATCCTACAGTTACAGCTGTCAACTAGAGACATAAAATTTAAAAAAGCAATCCTGCTAGCTCAAAAAGCCACAATAGTACAATACCTACAATCTTAAACATTGAGACAGGTTCTTGACGAAGCCTAAAACTCATAACCGGCTGGGCGGTGGTGGTGCACGTCTTTAATCCCAGCACTCGGGAGACAGAGGCAGGTGGATGTGTTAAGTTTGAAAGTAGCCTGGAATACAATAGCTAGTTCCAGAAAACCTCCAAAGCCAGAGAAACCCTGTCTCAAAAAAAACCCTCATAACCGTCCTTCCTCCAACAATAAACGCATTCGTGAGGCATAGCCAGGCGGATGAGTTCGAGGCCAGCCTGGTCTACAGAGCGACTTCCAGGACAGGCAAAACTGCAGTGGAAAACCTCGCCTCGTGGAGGGGAGGAAATCTTAGGTTGGAGGGCTATGGTTGAGATAGGGATCACGTAGCACGTGCCAGAATCCAAGAATTCGACTCCAACTCCTTGTATCTGCTAGGGTAAAACTCCGGGAACCAGCAGCGAGGTTACGAGGCCAAGTGTGACTCTCAGAAATAGCTTTCACAGGGCCTCTTCCGCTGGCGTCATCCGATAAGGTCATCTCACCCTAACACGCACCCTTCAGCCCGCAAATGCTGTCACCATATCCCACCACCAAACCAATGGTGGGCCTCACTCACCAGTCCAAGGGCGCCGTAAGCAGGCCGCTGACTACCACTGCGCCAGCGGCCATCGTGGCCACCTTGTAGGAACCCCACCGTCGAGATGGCGGCTGGCTGCGCATCCCACTGCCTTGGGGGAGGCATCAGGAGAGTGCGATCCGAGGACGGCGGGCCGTGGAGGGGATGAGACGACGTAGATCGCAACTGCACAAAAACGAAAGCACGCGGGCCCAGGAGGAAAGGCCGAAACAGGGCCCGCAGCCGGCTTATATAGGCTCGCGCCTCCGCGGAAGCGCCTGCGCCTTCCGCCCGCTGCGCCTGCGCCTGCGCCCACCGCCGGCCGCACGGTCCCTCTGGGAAATGTAGTCCTCGCTCACATCCTGATCCCTTTCTGAGGCGACCCTAAATGAGGAGTATTGAGGCTTCCATCCCGGTGACAGCAAACTGGACTGACATCCAAGACCCCGGCTGAGAATCTTAGAAAGTGTTCTCTGAAAGGTACAGGCATTACGCTGGCCTGCCCCGTTACCTGGCAGGATGCACTCAGGCAGCACTCTGGCCAGCCCAGAGTTCTGTGAGAACCACGCAGGTGCAAAGGACCCCTTTAAAGGACTGACCCCTGCCTGCTTATGCTCTCTTTTACTTTTACTCTTTTACTGTCGTCTTCCTCTTCATCTCATCCTCTGCATGTGCAGGCAGGCAGACCCAGCCTTTCCTTCCCAGCACACCCCAGGGTACCTGATTCCTCTCTCTCTCTCTCTCTCTCTCTCTCTCTCTCTCTCTCTCTCTCTCTCTCTCTCTCTCTCTCTCTCTCTCTCTCTCTGTCTCTCTGTCTCTCTCTGTCTCTCTGTCTCTGTCTCTCTCTCTGTCTCTCTCTCTCTCTCTCTCTCTCTCTCTCTCTCTCTCTCTCTCTCTCTCTCTCTCTCTCTCTCTCTCTCTCTCTCTCCTCTGCACGGGTTGGTTACCTCTCACCCTTTTCCTCTGTCTACCAATAAAACTCCACATCGTTGAGTCACAGTTTTAGTTCCCTGACGGGGAACCTAGACATTTATTTGTTTATTTATTTGTTTGGTTTTACGAGACAGGGTTTTTCAGGAACTAGCTCTGTAGACCAGACTGGCCTCGAACTCACAGAGATCCGCCTGCCTCTGCCTCCCCAGTGCTGGGATTAAAGTTGTGCGCCACCACCGCCCGGGGAACCTAGACATTTTAACCACACTCTCCACTCTGAGCGTCCTGGGATGCTAGAGTGGTTAGAGGGCTTCTTGAGAAAGGAGATTTTTTTTTTCTATTTTGGTTTTTTCGAGACAGGGTTTCTCTGTGGCTTTGGAGGCTGTCGTGGAACTAGCTCTGCAGACCAGGCTGGTCTCAAACTCACAAGGACCCAGTTGCCTCTGCCTCCCGGGTGTTGGGATTAAAGGCGTGCGACACCAATGCCCAACCCTACCTTGTTTTTTAAAACTGTCTCTCTCATTGGCTCCGAGTTTGTCAAGTAGAGTAGGGTAATCTTCCTGTCTCCTACTCCCAATGCTAGGATTACAAGTTCTGGGGATGAAATTCAGGTCCTTAGGTTTGGATAGCAAGCACTTTATCAGCTAAGCTATCACTCCAGTCAATGTATGTCTTTTTCTGCCTTCCTCATGAGTATGGGGGGCTCTCCAAGAACAAGAACGTCGCCTCTGTCCTCTGTGCTGTGTGTATCCTAGAATATAAAAGACAGGATTGGGCCAGGTGGTGGTGGTGGCGGCGGCGGCGGCACACGCCTTTAATCCCAGCACTCGGGAGGCAGAGGCAGGCGATTTCTGTGAGTTCGAGGCCAGGCTAGTCCGACAGCCTCCAAAACAATACAGAGAAACCCTGTCTCTTAAAACAAAAAACAACAACAAAAAGTCAGGATTGGTGCTGGAGAGATGGCTCAGAGATTAAGAGCACTGGCTGCTCTTCCGGAGGACATGAGTTCAATTCTCAGAAACCACATGGTGGCTCACAACGGTCTATAATGAGATCTGGTGCCCTCTTCTGGCCTGCAGACAGAACACTACACATGATGGATGAATGGATGGATGGATGGTCAGAAAGAGTTCGGCAGACAAAGCAATGGCAGTGCAACTCTAAAACCTGAGTTCATGCCGGGCAATCATGGCACACGCCTTTAATCCCAGCACTCGGTAGACAGAGGCAGGTGGATCTCTGTGAGTTGGAGGCCAGTCTGGTCAACAGAGTGAGTGCCAGGATAGGCTCCAAAGCTACACAGAGAAACCCTGTCTCGAAAAAACAAACAAAAAAACCCTGAGTTCAATGACCAGAACCGACATAAAGTATTTTAAAAGGTAGCCAACTCACTGGAAAGATCACCCAGTGATGATTGGAGGGATGAAACTTGGCTGTGATTGCATAGCCAGTAAGTGGCCCTTGAACCACAGCCCAAATCTCCCCAGTGGAAATGTGCAGTCTTAGCTGCTGTGGTATACATTTCTGTCTGAGCCACCTCGTGTAAATTTGCTTTAGCAGATGAGGAAGCAGGTCTCAGGGAAGGGAAATGACTAGCCCCTTGGGTAACACAGCCTTATCTATGGCATGGGTCAGCTGATGTGGATTCTGGTGCCAGGTACAGTCAGAGGCAGACACATGACCCCAGTCCTAGAAGGAGCCTCTGAAACGAGAAGTTCAAAGAATCTGATGCTGACACTGCACAGCCCACAAGGGCTGACCAGGGTGCTATACAGCCTGTCTTTGGGGGCCTCATTTCCAGTTGTTTCATGGCTCTTGGATCTTGCCTAGCTGGTCAGGATTACTCAGAGGTGTAATATAAATGGCTTTTTAAAAAATATGTATTTATTTTTATTTTGTGTGCATTGCTGTGAAGATGTCAGATCCCCTGGAACTGTAATTACAGACATTTGTGAGCTGCCATGTGGGTGCTGGGAATTGAACTCAGGTCCTCTGGAAGAGCAGCCAGTGCTCTTAACCTCTGAGCCATCTCTCCAGCCCCTTATAAATGTCTTTTTTGTTTTCTTGTTTAGAATCAGTGAGAAGAGGGCCAACAAGATGACTTATTGGATAATGGCACTTGCTGCCAAGCCTGAAGACTTGAGTTCAAAACCTGGGTACCTACAATGTAGAAGTAGAGAACCAACTCTTTCAAGTTATCCTCTGAGCCGGGCAGTGGTGGTGCACGCCTTTAATCCCAGCACTCGGGAGGCAGAGGCAGGCGGATCTCTGTGAGTTTGTGGGCAGAATAACCACCTGCTCATCAGGCTGTGTGAGAAAGAAATAAAAATGACCCAACGACGGTTTGCAACACTGAGGGCTTCCCTGCCACCTCCAATTTCCACATCAAACTGTAAGACCCTCTCAGAAGGATGGTGGGAACTAAACAGAGAACAAAGAGACTGCAGCTGCCTGGGACCAGCTAGATCCAGCCTTGATACCTTAGGCTTCAGGAAGCCAGGGTTAGATGCAGACTGCGTCCTTACACGAGCTTTTAATATAAGTGGGACCCAAGACCTGGTTTTCTGACTTTTTTGTTGGGGCATCAAGAGAGTCATGAAGGTTGAGTCCCCGTCACAGATGCACTGTGACTCTCAAGTGACACCTCTGAACCTTGGTCTCCCAAGTCCTAAAACAGACCACTAAAGCCAAATCTAAGCGACACCACCCAGAAACCATTTAGCCTGATATTCGATTTTGTCTGCCAGAGAGTTCCGTGCTCTAGGGTTATGCTTTGCGAGTCTGGTCTCCTGTACTGGAGCACAGGCAACTGTGTCCTGGGGTCCTGCCGTCCAGGCTTAGGGGCTGTTGATCATTTACTTTGACCCTTGAGCGGGCAAAGGCCCCAAGGAGGGCTCGTGAGACTCCAAGAAGGGGAGTCTGGACAAGGAAAGTGTGTCTGGGAACCAGGCACCTCCTTCAGAGATGAGATGCCCTCCTGCGGAGGCGCTAGGTGGTGATGGCAGGTGCCTTTAGGCAGGCAGAGGCAAGAGAATCTCTGAGTTTGAGGCCAGCCTGGTCTACAGAGCGAGTTCCAGGACAGCCAGGGCTACACAGAGAAACCCTGTCTTGAAAACAAACAAACAAACAAAAAAGTGTACACCATAGTGTTACTTTATTATGAAGGTAGGTCGAGACAGAGTTTTTTCTCTGCAACAGCCTTGGCTATCCTGGAACTCTCAGAGATCCGTCTGCCTTTGCCTCCTGAGTGCTGGGATTAAAGGCCACCACCGCGCTGTTTTACTTCCTTTATCCTGTGAAGCAGAGGTTGTCACTGTCCCCATTTTACAGAGGCAATGATTTCCACCCTTACTGAACAGACGACCAAGGATTGGTCTACCGGAGCCAGGCTCCCCAGTCCGCTTGCTCCTGGAGGCTGTGTCAGGACCAGGGACCCGTAGGAGGAGGAGGAGGAGGGCCCCACAGGAGGGGCGGGGCCGTACTGTCCCAGACAGCTGGGAGCCCAGATCCCATGGAGGTGGCAGGCTGCAGCTATCAATTCCGGATCGCTCTGCTCGGGGACGCCGCGGTGGGCAAGACGTCACTGCTGCAGCGCTACGTGGCGGGCTCTCGCGGGGCGGTGGAGCCGGAGCCGGAGCCCACTGTGGGCGTGGAGTTCTACAGCCGCGAGCTGCTGCTGCCCGCCGGGCTGCGGATCAAGCTGCAGCTCTGGGACACCGCGGGTCATGAGCGCTTCAGGTGCAGCGGGAAAGGGGAGGATCAGTGTCAGTCACCTGGGGGCACCCACGCCTGCGGGTGCCGACTGCAGGGGCTCAAACAGGGATCTGTGGTTCCTACCCTGCCAACTCAGGGTAGGAGTTCCTACTCAGCCATTCATCCTACAAACCCCACGGGGTGGGCCAAGCCCTTCAATTCCCGCATGTGCTGTCACTGAGTCACAGTCCCCGCCCCCGCCCCAAACCCTGACCCAGCCCTAAAGGAAATGTCAGCATAGGGAATCTGCACTGAAACATTGAACTTCCCAGAGAGATGAATGGCCTGGGTGCAGCTGCTCAAGGGGATGGGAAGGCAGGCAGACTTTTGTGGAGGCATGGGTGGGACTTAGAAGCAGAACAGGTACGAAGAGGGGACTGTCCCCTTCTCCCCACACCTCCTGTAATCCCCACAATTAGCATGTGTGAAGGCAGAGATCAGGGATTTGTGGCCAGTCTGGGCTATGTGAGACCTGAATGAAGTAAGCGGAATGGCGTGGGAAACCTGTGGATCTCGGGTGGGAGGGGGGCGCTCTGCGGGTTTTTTTTTTTCTATTTATTTTTTTGAGGCTGAAAGACTTAAGCTCTCCTGATTTACCCCTCCACCGCAGGTGCATCACCCGATCCTTCTACCGGAACATGGTGGGCGTTCTGTTGGTCTTTGACGTGACAAACAGAGAGTCCTTTGAACACATCCAGGCCTGGCACCAGGAGGTCATATCTTGTCAGGGCCCCGACAAGGTGATCTTCTTACTGATTGGTCACAAGTGCGACCTGAGCACCCGATGCGTCTCCACCCAGGAGGCAGAGGAGCTGGCTGCCTCGCTGGGCATGGCCTTCATGGAGACCTCGGCCAAAAGTAACTGCAATGTGGACCTGGCCTTTGACACTGTCACCAGTGCCATCCAACAGGCCCTACAGCAGGGGGACATCAAGCTGGAAGAGAACTGGGCAGGCGTCCGGCTCCTCCACAGAGCCCCCAACCCCAGGTCCCCCAGCAGCAGAAAGCAGGACTCAGGCCCATGCCAGTGTTGACTCTGGGGGAGAGCCGGTTAAAGTGGTGCCAGCCTCGGATGCCCCAGTGAGACTGGAGGCAAATGACAAAAAGACAACTGTCTCCTGACGTGTTCCTGCCTTCTAAATCTTGGCATTCTTTTCTTTGTCAGAATTGAATACAGCGCTTGGCTAGCTGCAGACACACTCAGCACTTTGATAATTTATATTTTCAGAATGGATCATCTTGCTAAATTGCCCAGGTTGGCCTTGAACTCAGCCTCTTGAGTGATTGAGATTACAAAAGTGTTCCACTAGGCCAGGACCTCTCTTGGGTTTTTAGCTCTGAGCACAACCCCTTTCTAGAGGAAAAAGGAAGTCTAAGATTGGGTATGCAGCTGAATGTCATTTAGCCTGTTTCCTTTTCCTTGAGTGTCAAGTGGCAGTACACACATTTGTAATCCCCAAACTTGGGAGGCAGAGGCAGGATCAGGAATTCAAGAACATTCCCAGCTTCAGAGAGTTCAAGGCCAGCCTGGGCTACATGAGATTATTGCAAAACATAAGAAATCTTTTTTAATTGCACTGCACAGGGAGGTGGAGACCGCATAAGGGACAGGCTTGCTCTCTCACAGCCTGCCTGAAAGCTGATATCATTCATGCTTCCGGGTCCCTTTCTTGGCTTCAATGTGGTGATTTCTGGCAGCATTCCTGGGCGGGAAGACAGCTTCCCAGCATCTCTGCACTGCCGTGCTGGTGAGGCAGTGAGGGGGGAATTCCAGCACAAGCTTGGCTTAACGCTTCCCCAGCCCTTAGAATAGCATGAGTCTGGCCTTAGCATATGTTGATTTTCATGGGTCCAACCCCAAGCTCAGTAACTAGAGTTGAATTCTGGGGTTGGCCATGATTGAGTGGCAGATTTGTCAGACACATGGTAGACAACATGGAGAGCCCCAGGGTCTTGGATGATGGACCTTGGTTTACTGCACTGCATGGAACCTGCCCACCCTTAGGGACATCCACACCCAACATCTTGTCTATGAGGATGGTGTTAAAGAACCTGCCTTCTTCAAAGCATAGAAGTCCACGCCTTTAACCTCAGCACGGAGGAGGCAAAGATAGGTGGATCTCTATGAGTTCAAGGCCAGTCTGATCTACGTAGAAAGTTCCAGGCCAGCCTGAACTGAGCTACACAGTGAGATACTATCAAAACAAAGCCGACCAGGCGTTGGTGGCACACCCCTTTTTTAATCTCAGCACTCGGGAGGCAGAGGCAGGAGGATCTCTGTGAGTTCCAGGCCAGCCTGGTCTACAGAGCGAGTTCCAGGACAACCTCCAAAGCCACAGAGAAACCCTGTCTCGAAGAAGAAGAAAAAAAAAGCAAAACAAACAATAGCAGCACAAAAAGGTGACAGGGCAGGGGCTGGAGAGGGGGCTCAGGAGTTCAGAGCATTTGTTACCATTGTAGAGTTCAGTTCTCAGCACCCACATGGTGGGTCCCAACCATCCATAACTCCAGTCCCGGGGATTCTAATAACCTTGTCTAGCCTCCAAGGACATCATGCATGTATGTGGCACACATACACATATGCTGGCAACACCTTCACACAGGGGGCTGGAGAGATTGCCCGGAGTTGAGAGCACTGGCTACTCTTCTAGTGGACCCAGTTTAATTCCCAGCAACCCACATGGCAGCTCACAACTAAGTCCAGTTCCAGAGGATTCAGTGCCCTCTGCTGGCCTCTGAAGGCACCAAGAGGGTGATAGTGCACAGACATACATACAGGCAAACATGCAGCACTCAGGAGGCAGAAGCAGGCAGATTTCTGTGAGTTCGAGGCCAGCCTGGTCTACAATTGAATTCCAGAACAGCTAGAGCTACACAGAGAAACCCTGTCTTGAAAAACAAAAACAAGACAAGAAAAAGAGAGAATCTGATTTGCAAGGGGACCTGTAGGCCAGAATGGCCAAGGGCAACAACTGTGGAGGCTTCCTAGCAGAGATGGTGCTGATGCTGAGTGTTGGTCAGAGCTGCAGAGGCATCTTCATGGATGTAATTGTGCCAGCAGGCATGAGCAGGGTATGAGCACTTAGGGCCAGCAGCCCCCGCCCCCTTTTGTTTTGTTTTCTTTGTGTTTGTCTGTTTTGGGTTTACTTTGTTCTGTTTTCTTTTGGTTTTAGCTTGTTTTGGGCAAGATTTGTGGCTGGTCTAGAAAGTGCTATGTAAACCAGGTTGGTTCCTAACTCTCTATGATTTTCTTTCAGCTGCCTCTAGAATACAGGAATTAAAGTGAAACTCACTGTGTAGCCCAGGCTGGCATTAGCTTATGCCACCTTGATCAAGCGGCCTGTCATTCTTGACTACTTCTCAGAATGTATCAGAATGGAAGCTTATCAGCCTCTGGCTTCCACCAGTCCCAAAGCTGAAAATGCTGAAAGACAATATCTGAGTCTGGGCTGGTGGCTCTGGTGCCATCTGAGGAATCACTGCCACTTTGAGACCACAGTTCCCAGGCCAGGCAGGGTTACATGGCACAATTCTTTTTTTTTTTTTTTTTTTTTTTTTTTTTGGTTTTTTCAAGACAGGGTTTCTCTGTATTGTTTTGGAGGCTGTCCTGGAACTCACTTTGTAGACCAGCCCAGCCTCGAACTCACAGAGATCCGCCTGCCTCTGCCTCCTGAGTGCTGGGATTAAAGGCGTGCGCCACCAACGCCCGGCCAGCACAATTCTCTTAACAAACGAAACATAAAGGCTGGACACGGTGGCACAAGGTAACTCGAATCAGTTGTTCCTTGTCATAGCCACTCAGACTGGCTCAGAGTAGGTAACATTCAGAAGCTGAGACAGGAAGATGTGAGTTCCAGGCCAACCTGGATCTCAAACACCAAACAAGCAAACAAAACAAAACAAAACATAATTTCTAGTTAAGTTTGGGAGAAGTCTGGAAATTCCCTGCCAGCTAGGCCTGACACACTCAGAAAAAGAGGTGTTGTCGTTGTACCCAATGCCTCCCTGCAGTGTCCAGAGGGCTACAATCACACACCTGTGCCTCAGCCCAGCTTCCAACTGCAGAATGGGAATACCAACAGTTTTGGCCTCACAGGGCTACTATGACACTGACATGGTAAGTGACCTCTTCTCACAGTGTGGCCTCACACCTGTGGACCTTCTGTGACAAGGGACTTATCTGTAACATCACAGCAACCTCTCCAAGTCCACGAGTTCTGACTCTGTTATAGACAGACTCTATCATGCCCAATCAGGGACACTGGCATGGCTGAATGGGTGAACCCAGGCTCATTCCACATTCCTGCAGCTAGACCCAAGGTGTGTTCTACCTCATACATCAAGGCTCTGCCCAGCCCGGGCAAACTGCACTGATGTGAGGAAATCATAGAGACTCCAAGTGGCTCCAGCGGGTGCATGCCTGCATGATGAAGATGCAGCCTCCCGCCCCTCTACCATGTGGGCTGTGCCCCTCTGGAGGGTTTCAGGTCTTCCCTGTGATGCTGCACCCACCTCAGAGTCTTTTGCTTTTGCTCCCAGGGCCCTTGTGCATATGGTCTTCCCCACCCTAAAGGGGTGGTCTTATGTCGTCGTGTCCCCCCCCCCCCGCGTCCTCCTAGTCTCTCCCTCGTCCTGACTGTCTCCCTCCTGCTCCTTCTTGGACAGGGCTTTATGTTCGTATCAGAGGCTGGTTTCTAACTTAAAACTCATGGTAGAGGTGTCCTACAACTCCCAGCGCTTCTACCATAAGCTCCCGACTGCTGGGATCACAGGCATGCACCAAACTACCTAGTCAAACCCAAGGCCCAGTGTATGCTGGGCAAGCATTCTGCCAACTGAGCTACAATTCCAGTTGTTTATTATTTGAGACAGGAGCTCACTAACTAGCCCCGGAACAACTCACAGCAGTCCTCCTGCCTTTGTCTCCTAAGTGCTGAAGTTCCAGACACATGTCACTGTACCTAACTGTTGAGGCCTTGTCTTTCCTAACTCCACTAAAACCTTAATTTCAGTTTTCCCCTCCTTTTCCTGGCCCACCCCATACAGATACAGGGAGCTTCTTCGTGATGGTTTCCTAGTCCTAGGTGGTCCTTCTGTCTTCAGCACTTATCCTGTTGTTACAGCCTGCTACACACACACACACACACACACACACACACACACACACACACTGATTTTAGTGAATTTCTCCTCAGAAGACTCCTTCAAGAATTTCTCCTTTATCTTTAGTTCAAACAATACTGGCAACATCCCAGCCAGCCCTTTTCTGTCTGTTTCTAACTCTTTTGGCCTCTGTCTGGGCAGTGGGTCACAGACTTCTGCTTAACATATAAATCTTTGTTTTGTTTTGTTCTTTTTTGTTTTTTTGAGACAGGATCTCTCTATAGACCAATGGATATCCTGAAACTCACTATGTAGACGAGGCTGATCTTCTGGCCTCTGAGTTGTGAGAGTAAGGAATGTACCACTACACCTAACCAATATGCCAATCTTTTAAAAAAATTATTATCTCCTTTGAGGACAGGGTTTCTCTATGTAAAAGCCCTGGCTGTCCTGGAACTCACTTTGTAGACTGTCTGGCCTCTAACTCACAAAGAACTGACTATCTCTATCCTACCTCTCCAGCTTTTTATTTATTTATTTTGAGACAGGGTTTCATTGAGCTTACTATGTAGACCAGGCTGTCTTGGAACTCACTGTATAGACCAGGCTGGCCTCAAACTCACAAAGATCTGCCTGCCGCTGTCTCCCATGAGCCACCACGCCCAGCATCCAGGCTCTTCTTCAGCTCACAGAGATCCACCTGCCTCTGCCTCCTGAGCACTGGGATTAAGTGCATTCACACTATGCCCCTTTGTTTACTTGTGTATGTGTGCATGCCTGCTTGCATGTCTGTGTACCACGTGCATGCAGTGCCACGGAGGCCAGGAGAGGGCATCAGACTGGAGTTAGACTTGTGAGCTGCCATGTGGGAGCTGGGAATCAAGCCAAGGCCCTCTGGCCATCTTTCCAGTCCCTGTATATCAATCTTTTTTTGGGGGGGCAGTTTGAGACAGGATTTCTCTGTATTGCTTTGGAGGTTGTACTGGAACTCACTCTGTAGACCAGGCTGGCCTTGAACTCACAGAGATTTACCTGCCTCTGCCTCCCCAGTGTTGGGATTAAAGGCATGTGCCACCAACACCCAGCCCTTTTTTAA